GGGGGTGGGGGTGGGTGGGGGGGGGGGGGGGGGGGGGGTGGGGGTGTGGGTGTGGGTGTGGGTGTGGGTGTGGGTGTGGGTGTGGATGTAGGTGTGGAGTGTGGGTGTGGATGTTGTAAGAATCCTCTCCAACACCCACACCCACACCCACACCCAAATCAAAAAGAAGATGCGCTTCTTCCTAGTTATGTCTGTTATGATCCGAGAAAATGTCCTCTCGTTTCATATCAAATCATCTACAATGAGAGTCGATGTCTCGAATTTCAAGAGATCGGTATTCGATCTCGTCATGATTATCCTTCATGGTGGCATATAGTTTCCCTCATTGAAAGTTACTTTGTTGATCATTGTTCGATCAACAAGATTCCGTTGTGTCCTTCATCAATCATGTATCGTTGTGCTAATTCATCAAAATGTATCTCCAAATATCGTCTTCTCGATGGTATTCAAGATTGTCTTGCAAATGATGATGAAACTTATGGCAATAGCTGTTCACTCGGTCATCACTATCGTTTTCAATGTTCTGATGATTGGCCGAAATGTCTTTCGCCTTTACTTATTCATGATGATTACGAAGATTGTCCAGTAGGTGAAGAAGAGATTCAATTTCCTTGGCGCATTGCTCAAAGTCGGACGAACATTTCCTTTGCCACAATATGCGATGGTTTTCGTGAATTAGAGCCGATCTTGATCGATGATCAATATCATACGGATGAAACCGAATGCAATTATTGGCCGTGTGACAATCGATATACAAGATGCAATAATATTTGGAATTGCCCTAATGGGATTGATGAAATGACCTGTTCGAATGAGGCTTCGAATCAATCGATTGATCAGCTGTGTGTTACTTGGATGACATCATCGCCCTCTTGTTTCTTGATCGCGACTAGAAATGAAAGTGATTGCTCATTGTCATCATATAACAACATGATTTGTGTCAATCGATCCACATCATCGAATCTTGATGTATTTCGCAAATGGACAACTGATGGATATATTTCATTGGTACAAATCTGTTCTCTGATTACTGGATGCCGAAAGAACGATCACTATCAACTTCCCACAGTACTGGAACATCAATTGTTCTATTGTAGAAAGACCAAAATTTCTTCTTTGGTCAACATCATATGTCAGTTGAGTCCTTCGTTCAAAGCATGGATTTATGATCATACCTTTGGCAGTGTGTTGAACTACGATCGCATGAAGCCAATGCAATCTATTCATTCGAAAGAGTATCGTCAATCGTTGGGATTGTGGTATTGTCATCGTGGTTTATCCACAAAGTATCGTAACGAAGGTGAACAACGGAAATGTCTTTGTCCACCTAGTTACTATGGCGATCGTTGCCAGTATCAGAATCAACGTGTCAGTCTGACACTTCTTATTGAGACAGAAAGTGATTGGCGTGCCATCTACACTACTCTTGTCACTTTAGTCGATCAAGACGGAGTAATTGAATCTCATGATCAAATCTTCTTTATTCCGATGACTGATTGCTTCTGGTTCAAATTTAATACATATTTACTCTATCGCTCTCGGCCGAAAAATTCATCCAAAAATTTTACCATTCTAATACATTCTTTTAATCGACATTCATTGAATTATCACGGGAGTTGGTCATTCCCTTTAGAATTTCCCTTTTTACCTGTTCATCGCCTGGCTGTACATATCATCATTCCATTGGATGAACCTGAACGATGTTCATTCTCTTGTAGTAGGCATGGCTAATGTTTCCGATTTCTCAATCATCGTCATCATCCTGAGCAATTCTATTGTCTTTGTGCTCCAGGCTGGTCTGGCAGCCAATGTTCCATTCCAGTCCAAACCTGCCATCTCTGTGCTTCAGATTCGTTGTGTTTTGGTACCTATATTTGTTTGTGTCGTCTGAACAAAGGTGGACCTCGATGCTATTTGCCCATTAGTATCTGTAAAACATCGAATCATAGATGTCAGAATGAAGGTCAATGTATTCCATACGATTGGCGTCGACCCAATCAAGAACATACTTGTTTTTGTCCTCAAGGTTATGATGGTCTATCGTGTACCATAATGAGCGATCGAATCACTATTTCGTTTCATTCCGATATTGAAATTCCTGATTTCATTCGTGTACATATCATTGCAAATAAATTGGGATTATCCGATGAATATACACAACTATTTCTTCGAATTCCTTTTGATCAAACTTCAGTGTCATTCTAGAGTAAGGCCAGATACAATTTCTTATGGGTCACTTTGCGGTCTAATGATCACTATTTGATCTACCCCAATGATCGAAACATTCCGTTCACTGCTATGTTGAATAAAACACAGCTGAGAGTGACCATTGAAACATGGCAACGTTGCCGACACCTGAATGAACTATTCAATCAGACAGTTTTTTCACTGAATCTTCTTCGTCGTATGAAGTATTACCATTTGCCCTGTCAACAACAGCCGCAGTTGCTCTGTTTCTCCGATGAGAGACATTTCTGTGCTTGTTCGAATGAAAATGGACAACGTCAAGCGCACTGTTCAGAAGCCAGGTACCATTCAAACGGTCCATGTCAAACAACGAGCAAGAGATTCTGCCAAAATGGAGGTCAATGTCTTCAAAATGCTCATAGATGCCCTTCAATGTTAACATGTGTTTGTCCTCGATGTTTCTATGGGAGCCGTTGTCAATTGACTTCGAAAGTGTTTGATCTCAATTAAGATGCTATTCTCGGCTATCATATTAAACCTTTCATCTCATTTCATCAACAACCACGAATAGTTCGAATCAGCATCATATTCGTCGCAGCCCTGTTTCTTATCAGCTCATTGGAAAATATTCTCTGCATTATGATATTTTGCCAGCCAGTCTTTCAAGAATTCGGCTGTGGAATCTATCTACTTGGTAGTGCAATCGTATCTCTATTGGCAATGCTTTGGTTTACTGTCAAATTCTGCTTCTTACTTCTTAATCACATGGCAATTATTCATAATCACTCATTCCTGCTGCTGACTTGTCTTCTGACAGACTATTTTCTTCGAGTATTTTACAATACTTCTGATTGGTTCAATGCTTGTATAGCTATCGAAAGAGCCCTGATTGCTTGGGTAGGAGTGCATTTTAACAAGAAGAAAAGTCATCAATATACGAAATGGATTATCATGATGATTATTCTTTTCACTTCGTTAACTAACTTACTCGATCCGTTTCATCGGCATCTTCTTCCTATTGAAGAAGAACAACGAATATGGTGTACACTATCTTACAATGGATTCTATCATACTCTCAATGTGATTATTTTATTCTTTCATACTATCTGTCCCATTGGCATCAATTTTCTATCAGCTGTAATCATCATAAGCAGCAGAGCCCGACAGCAATTGACTGTTCAACAAGAAAAGCGCTATCAACAGCATGTTCTCGGGCAAATGCAACAACATAAAGATCTATTAATATCACCCTGCATGCTGGTTGTTCTTGGTTCGTCACGTCTGATCTTGGCATTCGTCTCTGGCTGTATTGATTCAGGAACTGATTCTTGGATCTTTCTCATTGGATATTTCATTTCATTTATACCGGCTATGATTGTTTTCGTCACATTCATTGTACCATCGAAAATCTACAGGAAAGAAGCTGCTAGATTCCTTGCAACCCTCTTTTGTCATCGTTGTACTGGTCATCGATGAAATGTCGCTCATTTATTCACAGGTCGCATTATGAATGTAAAGTTATGATTATGTTTTTGTTACTGTTAATAATAACAGATCAATAATAAATCACTTTCACTTTCATTTATAAGAGTTCGCAGGCAAATCCACATGAAACATACTAGTCGGTATGATTTTGCAATACACACTAATCAGCTAATCTAAAATTTTCTCCTCAGCAACCGAGTATGTCGTCGAAGAGAGAAGTCAATCCGATTCGGTGCATGTAGTCTTTTTTTGAATCTTTAAAAGAACTAAAATGCATAATTATTTGTCGACACATTTCGTATACGTAACAATGGTAAGCTCTTCGAGATTCTGCACAAAAACTTCGTCATTTGTAGGGAAGACGACAATGAATTCGAAAAACAATATTATAATGAAAATTTTCAGGGCGCAAATCAATTCAACAGTAAAATGAAATGACAGCGAGAAGATAGGATGTTCGAATGTCGACAAGAAAAATGTCGAGACAAAAATGTCGATGAGATACAACTACCATAAACGCTTTCGATCCAGCAGCGGATCTCATCAGATGGCTTGACAACAATTGTGATTAGAAAATCAAAATCAAGTTCTGACTTTAACTGTTATGGCTAATAATGATTTTGTTCGGTTTCTAGTTCAGCAGAAGACTTGTGATCGAATACAATAGTCCAGTCATCGATGAGAGCATATACTATGAGACAATCCTTAACATATACTGATGGCGATTGAGTTGGAGCACTTTGAACATTTACTCCAACATCCCATGTGACATGAACATCAGGGTGTGAGTGTGCGTCTCTTCTTCATGCACACTCGCACTAACAAGCACACCCACACCCACACCCACACCCACACCCACACCCACACCCACACACCCACAC